CTATGTCTTTACTCATGGTGCTCATGTCCTTACACATACTGTTGAGCTCCCTCAAGATCATGGCTCTGAATTTTAGTTTTGTTAAGTTGCTTAACTGCACCTCATTTATCTCATCTTCGGTAGAGGTCTGTTGTTCTTTCATTTTGCTTTTGTTTCTGTTTTTCACCACTTTGGCTATCACAGTGGGCTTTGGAGTCTGCCAAATTTTCCCTGTGGGTGTTGGTGTTCTGCTTTTTGTGGCTCCCTCTCCTGGGTTTGGTTGAGGCAGGGAGAATCCACGTTACACACCCCTGTTAAGTCTTACTTTTCTGGTTAGCCTTGCTAGCCCAGGGAGTGGTCCATTTATCCTCTAACTTTTTGCCTGCAGGCTATTAGTAGCAGTCCCCTGAAGAACCTTGGCTTCTCAGTGGAATGAAAAACTCCCTCAGGTGCTCCATGTAAGAGGATTTCCCAAGTGTGGGGCAGATTCTTGTTGGTAATGGGCCCCATTTAACATTTCAGTGGCCCCCTGGGTGGGGTTGAGTCTTCAAGAGAGGGGCCGCTGCCTCTCCCCAGGGCCCTGGGAAGGAGTAAGATGACCACAGTCCTGCGTGGCTGCATGTTAGCACAAGCTCTGAGTGTCTTCAAAATCCCGAGTTTCCCACACAGTTCCAGTCCAGTCTACCCTCCCTCTACCAGAGCCCAAGGTGAGTGGCTGCTTCTGTTTTAGCCTCTGTTCCGGCTCTGCAGTATGGAGCCGCTTAGGAGTTTAACCCGAGGGCGCTGCTCGCAGCTAAGGTCCGTTGCTCCCTGCCGAGGCCATTGCCTCCATCCGAGGATGCCGCTCCTAGCCGAGGCCGCTGCGGACCGTTGGCTCCCAGCCCCCTGTTGTGTCTCCGCAACCCTACCAGGATTGAGTCAGTTTCCCTGTTTATGTGGCCCTCCCAGCCGCTTTTTGGTTGCCTTTTCCTGACGATTTGTCTTTATTTTTGTTGTAATTCAGTTTGGTCCTGGGAGATGTTCTGTGTAGCTTCCATTCACTCTGCCACCATTTTTTCTGTCCCAGTTTTTTTTTTTTTTTTTTTTTACCTGCTTGCTTTATTACATCACACCAAACTTTACTTTATTAATTAGGAAATTGAATCCCTGTCCTCGTGTTCTCACCACAATGCGGGACCATCTGCGCTTGAGCAAAGGAAGAGATTCTCTACTTTGACAACTCAGTGGAGAGCTTACTGAATCTCTAATAACGCAGAAGTTTTGAGTGAATCCTTCATTGGTAACATTAACGCCCCAGCAACTTTCATATTTTTCATAGAATAGCTTTCTTTTTCTAGGTAAATGAATTCAAATTAGATCCCCCACCATGACCTAAAATAAATAAAAGCTTCGTTCTTTGGACAGTGTTGGGAGAACAGGTCTGTGGTGTGTGTATATCCTAACTCTAGCACTTACATCTTGTGGTTGCTCTAATGGCCTGAACATAGAAGCAGATCTGCTAGAAGTCAGCATGTTTGAGAGACTCAGTATTTCAACAGACTGTTGAGGGATTTCTTGCCCCTGGTTCTGGACTGTTCCCCATGGTTCTGATGTTTCCAGGCAGTAAAAAAGAACCACTCCAGCAGCTTCTTTCATCAGGCTAGGAAGATGTGATACTACTGCCTGCCAGGTGCCCTTAGCCTGAAGGCCATGTCTATTCCTCAAATAGCTCACCTGGCTCACAGGAACTTAAAAAAAATGTATCTGGAAATAGATGTCATCCTATCAGAGGGAGGCACATTACCCGTTTTCCGGGGTTTCCAAAGGTTAAGCGTCAGAGGTCCACTCTTCAAGAGAATCATGTGTATCAGCTTGAACATAGCTTCTTAGCACTTCTCATCTGGCAGATGGATCCCACAGGTAGTTCACTCTCACCTCCCCATTCATGCTTCCAGCTGTGTGAGCCTCATGATCTCCACACACTCCCAGATGATAGTTAGCAACCTGGCCTCTATGTTGCTCTATAGGTATGTTTAAGAAAATGAAAAGGAACATTTGTTAAAAATGAGGTTGGAAATAAAAAGCATCTACTGACCAATGCACGTATCATGATGGAGCAGTGGCTTTCAGTTGGAACAATGTCTACTGCAGGGCAAAAGGCTCTTGAACACAGTGTGGAAGCTAATCACTAATACTAATGTTAATATTATGATTAGGTCTGCCTGTTAGAGCTGCCAGTGGTAGCACAGTTAGATCTGAAGACATATTTAGTTGTAGGCCCCAGGTTAAATGCTTTATAAAGTCTCTATGCCTGTGTGGTTTATCTAAAAACTTGGAGAACTCCTGGGCAAAAATCTCTCAGAATTCCTTCCAATTCTGTGATCCTCTAGGAGAGAATTAGAATTCCTAAATCGTCTTTCTCTTAAAATGCCAGAATGCTCAGAGGAGAAAATAAAAGTCATTTGCTGTCTCATTATACTAAGATAATTATTATTAACATAATGCTTTTGATAACATTTTCTCTAAGCAGCTAATTCTATATCTCTTTCCAAAGTTAGAGACATAGTGTATATTTATTTAATGCTATATACAGTACGATTTTATGATTTAATAGAATATCATGAACATTTTCTAACTCATTTATTCTTATATAGTAAACCTTATCATTTCCAGCTGCACATCAAATATTTGAAACATACATTTATTATTCCAGAGCATTAAAACATGTAGTACATTTAATTGGAGTAAGTGTAAAAGAATAATGTGTTTAAGCAGGATCTCAAAGCTCATTTTGAGTTCAGAAACGTAGGTTTTAATTTATACTAAGAAAATGGAGTTCTCTAAACGACATTGTGAGGACCACTTTAAGGATATCAGTTATTAGTATTGCAGGTGAGGAGAGAGGTAATAATAGGCATTAGGTTCTTGGGTTTGACTTCACATCTTGATTAAAACATAGGAAAAGATGGGTTGCCTTTCTTGACTTAAAAATGGAAGTAATGTGGTTCCCAGGAATTACATTGTACCTTCTCTACCCCCTGGTGTCTTTCAGATATCTCTTCAGTAATGCAGGACTTTGGCAGGTGGATTTCAGAGCGTGAGGGCAGGCCTTGGGGTAAATTCCACTCCCTTGTGTGGGTCCAGATAAAACCAAAGGACATGGACTAGTTGCAGTTGCAGTTGGCCTTTCTTTTTTTTTTTTTTATCCTCACCCGAGGACACTTTTTCATTCTTTGTTCAGATAGAGCTGGAGGGAGAGAGAGAGAGAGAAACATCGATGTGAAAGGGACATATCGAGTGGCTGCCACCCGCACGACCAACCAGGGCCGGGGACAAACTGCAACCGAGGTACATGCCCTTAGCGGGAACCAAACCCGGGTCTCTCCGGACTGCATGCCGACGCTCTAACCGCTGAGCCAAACTGGCCATGGCGCAGTTGGCCTTTCTTGTGTGGCCATGGACCTCAGTATCAAACTGGCTTCAGGACTAGCAGGCTATTAATTCCATTGAGGCATCTACTCATAATTAATTTCTTAAGAATGTGGCCTATGTTGAGTGCATCTGGAAGCATTTTCACACACATGACACCACCTCATGTAAACCCTTGATATCAGAATCTTTTGCTTTTACTGAAATACATCCAATTAAAATTTAGATCTAAGGGTATAGAAATTGCTCTGTTAAGTTTGGGATTTAGTTGAACTAAAATGACAAACACCTGCCTCACAAATCTTGGCAAGACCAGATGGTTTTTGTTATAGCCTCAGAATTACAGAGGGAAACTCAAGACATTTGGATATTTTATGCCAAAGAACCTTCCATACCTCAGGCCATATTGAAAATATCCCAAGAACAAGTTTATTCTCTGTCCCAAGAACAAGTTTATTCCCTGTCCCTATGCTTTCTTTAGTCTGGCACCTCTCTGTCTCCCTAATTGTTAAAATAATTTGGAAATGAGGCTTTGTATCTTTTTTCGAGGACTTTGTCCATTTTATATATGTGTCAAATTTGTGGGCATAAAGTTGTTTGGCATATATCTTTTTTATCCTTTAAACATTTATAAAATCTGTTCTGATGTTGCCTCTTTGATTCTTGATATTTGTAACTTGTGTCTTTTTTCTTGGCACATCTGGCAAGAGATTTATTGATTTTACTCAACTTTTTCTTTTTTCTTTTTTTTTGAAATTTTATTTGTTTTTGTTTTTGTCTTTATTAGTCCCCTACTTCTGTTAGTTTGGGGTTTACTTTGCTTTTATTTTTTTAGTTCATTAAGGTGGAAATTCAGATTATTGACCTGACAGCTTTCTTCTTTTGTAATATAATCATTTAATGCTATGAATTTCCCTATAAGCACTGCCTTAGGTAAGTATCTCAATTTTGCTATATTGTATTTTCATTTTCTTTTATTTTTGCTCACTTGAAAATGTTTTCTAATTTACTTTTTGACTTCTCTTTGCTACAGAGCCCATTTAGAAGTATGTTGTTTAATTCCCAGCTATTTGGTTTGGTATCATTTTGAACTCTAAGAAAGAAGTTCTAATGAAACTCTTTGATGAGAAGGCATTTGAATTGATACATGACAACATGGCAGATTTTTCACAGTAAAGTGAAACACTATCATGCTATTTTCATTGTATGAACTTGAAAAAATGTATCTTCAGCTATTTTATTATGCTTAGTAATTTTGTTGTTGTTGTTAATCCTCACCAAGGATATTTTTTTCATTGATTTTTTTTTTTTTTTTTTTTTATAGAGAGAGTAGAAGGGAAGGCGGGGGGGAGCGAGAGAGACAGAATAAAATGTATGTGAGAGACATTGATTGGTTGCCTCCTGCATGTACCTCAACCAGGGCTGGGGATTGAACCTGCAACCCAGGTATGTGCCCTTGACCAGGAATCAAACCCATACCCCTTCGATGCATAGGCCGATGCTCTGTTCACTGAGCCACACTGGTCAGGGCTGCTTAGTAATGTTTTAAATGTGATTTAAAGGCAGATATTGGGACCCTTCTGAGTTATGTGTCTTGTCTCTGTTCTTTTTAGTGCATTGTCATTGGGCAGGAGTGGATTCTCAAAACTTCATGAAAGATGCTAAGCACCTACACTGCTTTAAGAATTTGGAACTGAATCGTGAAAAGGAAGACAGAAATAAGAAATTGGGAACCTGAAGAGCCCTGCAAAAAAACAAAAAACAAAAAAACACCAAAGGAACGTTATCATTTTCTATTTTGTTGCCGTGGTCTAATAGAGGAAGTGGGTGCTGCGAGGGTAGGGGAGTGTATCCTGTGCTCATGGCAGCATGGCATACACCTGTGCCTGCCCCACAGGAAGGCTTTGTTGGTTCCTATGTTGTCTTGGCTTACTTTTGGAATATCATTTGTCATTGACTTCTTCTTTCACACTGTGGTTTATTTCTGCGTGTCTATGATGGTTCTCAAATGCATTCATGCTTTCCATGTTCCCAACACTGGCCAAGTTAGGGCCCATGTTAAGGTGTAAAGAAAACAGTATCAGTGATAATGTATTGTGTGAGGTCATTGCATTGTATACATTTTCTCTTTTTAAAAAAGGAAATAATAAAACTCTAAACCTCAACAGGTTATTTTTTCAAATAACCCTATTATAAGAGGCCTTCCCTTAGTGGCCCACATAGGCCTCTGATTCCACAGTGAGCCTATCTGTGGTAATTTATAATTGATGACATTTTACTTGGACATGAGATGACAGGAAAGGGGAGTGTGTGTAGGAAGGAAATCCAGTTTCAGAATGGCCAGATGACTGAGACCAAGTGTGGCTGCCATCTCTGGTTTATCCGCCTTTGGGAGGTGGGAGTAGGGCCTTAGCATGTTAAACCATACAGATGCCCCTTTTCCTAGAAATGATGGTTGTCCATATATCCAAGCCAATTATCTCCACAGTTATATGAAGAAAGAACCACATTCTGCGAAAGAGTTTCTCAGTTTATTTTAATCTACTAGTGCCACAGCTATAGTGATCATTTTTGACAATATTTGCTGTTAGTAGTTTTATATTTATAGAACATATTTATAATATATTAATGATTATATTAGCGTTGTCCTCTCTTAAAATACTCCTTGCCTAACTATAGAAGAGACATTCTTATTTGATATTTTTATAATGCTGAGACTATCTGTGACCTTTATAATAACTCTGAGTCCCTCTAGTCTGACCCAGTTGTCTACTTCAAATAAAAACAACATGTGGGCCCTGGTCGGTTTGGCTCAGTGGTTGGAGCCTCGACCTGTGGACTAGACAGTCCAGGGTTCGGTTCCCGTGAGGGACACGTACCAAAAAAACAAAACAAAAAAACAACCCAGAACATGTGGGAAAAAATAAGAAGCTCAAATCACATTTCAAATATACATTCAAATACTTAGAATATGGAGGGGGAAAGGGGTTTGCCAGATTGCTTTATTCTGAATTGATACAGATGGTACAGTGTAATCCACGATAGTTTAAACCAGGATTTGAAATCATTACATCCCAGATGCACACCTCTGGTTGCACCCCAGCTCTATAGACAGCTCTTCTGTTTCAGTTATCTAAGTAGGCTTTTACACAGTGAATTAAAATTCACTTCCAAGTTACTTGAGTCTGTAGTTTTGTAAATTCTGCTGTAAGGTTGTGGGCATGCTGAACAGATTTATCATACATTTCTCTGCCACTACACTTTATCAGCACTAATTAATGCTGTTAAACAGCTGCAGCCTGTTCTTGTGGCAATGGGTAATGAGGATTGTATAGAGAGAAGAGCTAATGTGCTTGATGTTTGGATGATGGTAATAAGATAAAGTTCCTCATAGCCCACAATCTAGATCCTGGATCTCATTTCAAAGGCACTTAAACAAATTGGAGTGTGAGCAGTGCCATGTGGTCAACTTACGGAAGGATCTGAAAACCATAAAGGAAGGAGTTGAAGAAAAACACCAAACTTCAAATATTTGAAAGACACGGACAAGACACTGGGTCAGGAACAAAACTTGGAGCAATAGGTATAAGTTGCATAACAAAGATGCTGTCTTGACCAGAAGTCCAAAATCAAAGTGTCACAGGGCTGTGCTCCCTACCAGGGGCTCTAGGGAGGATCCTTTCTTGCCTCTCCCAGCTTCTGGTGGCTCCTGGCATTCCTAGGCTGTGGCCACATCACTCCAGTCTCTGCCTTTATCTTCACATTACTTCCTCTGTGTCTGTGTCTCAGATCTCCCTCTGTGTTTTTCTTATGACACCTATCATTGAATATAGTGCCCACCCTAAATCCAGAATGATCTCATCTTCAGATTCTGCAAAGACCCTTTTTCAAATAAGGTGCCACACTCACAGGTTGCACCTAGCATAGGGGGCTACCATCCAATCCATATAGGCAGTGTTCTCTCCCCTTTGGGGCTGGCCCACATCCAGAGTTGTCTGCCCAGCTTTTATTACTGTGTTTTAGGCCCTGTCTGTAGCTGACCCTGGTGCCCTTGGAGTCCCTGGGCAGGCGTCAAAGGCACTAGAACCTTGATAAAGCTCTCACTGGTACAAGAAGAAAATACAGAGATGGTTTCCCCTTTGCTGAATTACAGCTGAGTTCTCATTCTTGCTGGCCTGCTGCTTCCTTCACCCTCTTTAGGTCCTGTGGCCTGCCTCCCTTCTCAACTGAGGGTCAGATGGTCAACAGGAAGGACAAGACAATGTGTACCCTTCAAGAAGACAGCATTCAGGAGAGGGCAAGTCTACCCTCAGAACTCCAGATGGGTAACTGCTGCTGGTTGAAAGCTGGCAATTGCTGATGATAAAGTTAATTTCTGCCCCCCCGCCCCCCCCCCCAAACAACAACAATATAGATGCTGGCTTGATACCAGGTAAAACTTGAACAGCACCACTCAGAAGTGGATGGTGACGTTGGGAGCTGTTAGTGTTTGAGCAGAAGTTCTGAGCCTTCTTATGTGTGGGGAGATTTTTATTTATTTTAATTAATTTAAAATCTTTCCTCCCTCACAGTATGCAAGGAGCATGGTAAATGTTGGAAAATGTATGCTACTTTTGTAGCATTGGATCGAAGGAAGGTTTTCTATCATCCTGAAGGTCACTCTCAGAGCCTAGGAACAGAGAAGCAGCAGTGTGTACATAAATGGCCGCCTCAAGAGGGTCAGATTTAACCACTGGGAAAGCACAAAAGAAAAATGAAAGCTCAAGGACAAAGCCCATGCCATCCACAGCTACATCAAAAAGACAGCTAATTTCTCCGAACCCCCTCCCCCACTCCTTCATTATCTTTCTGAAGGTCATTTCTAACTCTTACTGTGGGACCAGTGGCTAAATTGTATTTTAGGTGTAGTTCTACTTGCAGAGTATAAAACTCTCAGTCTTTGCACCCCTCCTAACATCTCCAACTCCTCCTTTCTGCTTGTTTATAAAGCTAGCTGTTTATTGTTCATTAAAACATTATTTGAATGTGGGTGGGAGAGGAGAATCACACCATGTATGGCTTTTCTGAGGAGTCTTGGCAGACTGCAGGCCAGTGCTTTAAACGGAACAGTGTCTGATAACACTGGGTACTAGGCTACATTTAATCTTGCCTTTTGTGGTTTACTTTATAGGAGACCAAGCACTTCTGGCGACACAAAACATAGACCAAATAAAGACACCTTCTCTTGGGCTAGACTCTGCACAGCATTACAACATGGTTGGTGGTCCTCAGGAAGGCATTTTCTCCATCAAGCTGCATCCTGACTGGATGGGTGCCAACTGGCACATAGGCAATGTGGTATTTTTGATTTGATGGTAAGGAACACATAGTTCCACAAACTCACCCTCTCCTCCAACATAGTGTCATTTTAGTAACTCCAAAACCAGAGTGGTGATCTTTTCTGTCAAACCAGTTTGTCAGAGTTCCTGCCCTTTTTCAGCCAGGCACTTTCAGAATTCTTAGTTTGCAATTCATTGCTGATTTGGGTCTTTTGAAAATAGAGTTAAGGAACCTCATCTCAGAATATGGCATTATATCAACGGTAGAACCTGCCATTGGTCATACAGAGAAGATGAAATCTGTTTTGAGGAGAGTCTGCCTCCCATAGTCACTGCCAAGGTTTTGTTCTCCCCTGGGGTACAGACACCAGTACACCAATTTGTAGAAGTTCTGGAAAGACAAAACCTTCAGTTTCCTTGCAAAAGTCTCTCTTTTAGATTTGTCAAATTAATTTTTGATACTCTATTTCATATTTTTGGGGGTTCCTAAAATAACTTTTCTTGTTTTTGAGTCTTTCCTGAGGGTTGATGAGTTAGAGGCTCTGTCATCAAGTAGGAAATATATTGGGGTGTCTGTTGAAGGAGCTTTAGCTGATGTGCCCCCTTGCAGCAGGGAGATGAAAGACCAGGTGTGGGACTGAGGAGGCTGCCTCCCAGAGGGAGCTGTGATCAGTAGGATGAGGTGGAGGTGGCCAGGAAAGTGGTGCGCTGTGAGGAGGGTGAACCAGCACATCAAGGTGTGAGAGAAGGGCGGTCCAGACAAAGGCCAGCAGGTCGGTAGGACTGGATTCAGGAAGATGGGGCACATGCAGAGCTGTGGAGGGGAGCAAGATTGAGAGGTGATCAGAGACAGGGTCCACAGAGATCTGGTAAGTTATGATAACAGTTCACATCTTCTTCCTTCATCTTCTCCAGGCTGATTTGTTCTAGTTCTTCAGCCTTAAGAATGACCGTGGGAACTGCGTGCAACTCTGTGATGTGGTATGACCAAGGTGCCTGGACAGTGGAGTAGTGGTCTCAACAGGCCAAAGGATTGCACAGACTTAGGATTTGAATTCTACCTGTGCTGTTGACTTGCTGTATGAACTGGACATAGTGTATTTGTTCATTCACTCTCTGAACTTTCATCCTATCTGTACAATCTTGGAGCACAGTTGCAAGGATTTAAAAGAGTTGTATACAGAGCACTGGGCATAGCACCTTACAGTGGTGCATGTCGGGGACACCAGGCACATTACTGTGATAATGAAGCTCAATGTGACTGAAGTATTTCTTTCAGTAGCTGCATCACACCTTTGGCTCACATCAAGCCTGCAGGCAACTAAAACCCCAGGCTTACTCATATAACCACTGGCCAGTGAAGAACCCAAATGAAGAACTTAACTTTATTTCTGTTGGGCTCGGCTCATGGTTCTGGACCATTAAAATATTTCCTCCCAGTTTTGTGTCATCTTCAGACATTTTCTGTATCTTCAGTCTTGGCTAAACACGATGCACAAGATAGAGTTGGAACTCCACGAGAACTCCATTAGAACACTAGATACATTATTTATACTCTCATTTTGTCCACATTCTTTGTTCCCATATCACCTGTTCAGTCTAAAATCAAGCTATACTGTTTTCACAGTATTTTGGTGATTTATCCAATGGTTTTGTCTGAAAAATATATTAGTACAGCACAGTGTGTTACTGTGAATTCATGCTGGCTTTCAACGATCGCTTTATTCTTTTCCACAGGCTCACAACCATCTGCCTAATCATCTCTTCTAGAATGTTTTCAGGAATCTGCATCTGATCTGTCTTGAATCTTTTTTAGAAATTAAGATTTTTGACATTTGG